GCACATCATACGATGGCGGCCATTTTTGTTGTTTACAATTCTTGTGCTTTGGGTTTGTACAGATTAATAATCGTTTTAAACGTTGTGTTTCTTACAAAGAGACTTGCAAGCCTTAAAAAAAATCTCAAAGTGGTAAGAAAAATCATTTTACTCCTCTTTTGTAAAAAATAAACCTTATTCTATCAAATGTCAATTTGAAGGTTAATTTGTGGGTTATAAAATAACCTTAAATTAACCTTCAAATTAACATTTGACAGCCCGGGGTAAAGTACCTCATTACAGCACCGAAAGTGGTGTTACAATGAAGTCATTATGAACACAAAGCAGATAAAACATAAACAAAACGTAATCCGTATTTAAATTTAACGGCGTAAATTTGTAAATGCCCAGATAACATTATGAGGTTCATAATTAACGCATATTGCAGTCACAACGTGATTGTAATCCGCAAGTATGCACGCATATAGGCATCATTTGCGTCATCAATTGAGGTTCATATAGCCAGCACATTCGATGGTTGGAGAAACATTGCGAGGTTCATAATTTACGCATATTGCAGTCACAACGTGATTCTTAATCCGCACGTGTGTCACATATATGCATCGTTTGTGTCATCAATTGAGGTTCATGATTGATTTTACTTACGTTTCGATTAGTTTATTATCTTTAATTGTCTTCAGTTATTACCTGAAGACCATTAGAGATAATTACTGATTCAAACGTTGTAAGAAAAACAATCAAATTAAGACAAGGCAAGTCCAAAACTCAGCTGTTAATCATTCATAAAATTGATTTATTGCGAAATTTTGGTCAATAAGTAATAATCCAAAAGGTATTTTTCTTTAAGTCATTTATTTTAGTTTTTGTGGCAATTGTCTACATATATAGAAAGATATCTTATTTTAATTAAAATAAGGCATCTTTTTACAAATTCATTCAAATAAATTAATGATAAATTAATTTATAAACGTGATCTTAAGATCAACGTGTTAACTCGTTGATCAATTCCAATTTGTAATTCCAAATAAAATTATGTATATTTTTTTATACAAATGTAGTCTACAAATTTAGTCTTTACAAATCCAGTCTTTTCATAAATTAACCATATGTTGTAAGTCAATTTTTTGAAAATTTTAGTTATAATATGAAGTAAAATCAACAATTTTCGCTAGATGTAGACTACATCTCATGTAGTTTAGATCTAGTATAACATCTACAATTTTGCGATTACTATTCAGCAAAAGTGAACACTTTGCATTCATTTCGTGCCCTCATATACCAATCACGTGCGTGTATTCCCATTAATCATAAAATGAATATCATATCGCAGCGTTTTTACCGTCACGCATGCTTCCGCACGACGTAAAGGCGATGTGCGTTTTGATGCTCCTCACGGTTGTTATCTGGGTGCTCCAACGGCTTGCGTATTGGTTATGTTTTACGGGCAAGCGGAAGGAAGGAAGGCTCTCTAAATCAGGTTAACATTAAAGAAATGTAGGCCATTGTATGGAGTGTATGTTAACATGTTAAAGAACATCGAAGAGGCGCCCTCACTGCACACGGTAGGTATATTGTGGAAGCTTTAAAATGAATCAATCAAAAGCGAAGTTATATCAAGAATATATTCAAACAAAGATGAAAATTTATATATAAACACTTAATTTTATATTGGCCAATATACCTATATGGGCAAATATAGATAGCTCTAATAATGTTATTATGTTACTACGCTCCAGTGGTAGCTTTCCAGTTAATTCGTGATTTACTATCATATTATCATAAAAGGATTTACATTAGCCATTATACTTCACGCGTGGATTCACACTGCCCTCAGATACCAACATAATATGAAGTCACGGTGAATCCATATTAAGGCAAGATAGATTCTTATGAATCCACGATTGAACTTCGGATGAGTTTATTTTGCCCTAAAATGAACCTCATAATTTGAAACAGTGCCGTAAATAACACCCCGCCTTGCAAGGGTCCCAAAAATCCATAGGCGCCTAATGGATCTGAAGATAATTTGTTTCATACAACCTTTTTTGTCTAAACGTATTTGTTTAAGGACGTTTCGGTCAGTTTCGGCTTAGGCCAAAAACTTCGGTTTGGCCGAAACTAAAGTTCGTCAGAGCTGGGCACGAGTACTAAAAAAAGTTTTCGTAAAATTTTAAGTACGAGTACTTAAATTATTTACTCGTAAGTACTTTACTCGTAAGTAAATTTGTAAAGAGAGGTTACGGTTACGAGGAGTAATCGTGAAAACACGAGTAAAGAGTACGAGTACTTTTGAAAAAAAAGTTAGTTAATATAATTGATTATTCTTTACCCTCTAAAAATGGATTAGTCAAAAATGACTAATTGTCATAGCGAAAAAGCAGCCACTAATAATTCTCGTTAATACACGGAAAAAAATAATCGGTAGAGGCTACCGATTGGCAATCGGTAGCAGCTACCGATTGCCAATCGGTAGACTCTACCGAAAAAATCGGTAGACTCTACCGATAAAATCGGTAGTCTCTACCGAAAAAAAATCGGTAGTAGCTACCGATTATTTTTCGGTAGAGTCTACCGATTTTTTCGGTAGAGTCTACCGATTTTTTTGGTAGCCGTAACCGAGAAAATCCGCATCGATGCGCTGTTAGAAAATTTAAAAAAAAAATATTATTACTTAAAAATATTAACATTTAAAAATAATATTAAACATTATTCAAGTTAATAAAAATTACTCTTTTCAGTCAAACATTTTGAGATGGTATTCATTGTAATTATTAAAAAATGCTATTTAAAGAAATGGGTTTTTTTATCATCTATTTAAAAGAAAGTTTATTTATCCAATTAGCGAGTATTTAACTTCTCGCAAAAAAATACAAAAATTTTCAAAAATTGGTAATCGATTTTTTCGGAAGCCTGCACCGAAAATATCGGTAGACTCTACCGAAAATAATCGGTAGCTGCTACCGATAAAAATCGGTTGAGGGAACCGATTTTTTTTCGGTAGAGACTACCGATTTTATCGGTAGAGTCTACCGATTTTTTCGGTAGAGTCTACCGATTGGCAATCGGTAGCTGCTACCGATTGCCAATAGGTAGCCTCTACCGATTATTTTTTTCCGTGTAGCAAATTGTTCCCTGAATCTGCAAATGTTATCAAAAGTCAGAAAAGTTGAACAGTTTTTGAGATATAGTCCATTTTCCATATAATATGGAATTGACTATATCTCAAAAACTGCTCCACTTTCATAATTTTTGACGGTATTTTCACTAATTTCCACCAATAACTGTGGTAATTAGTCATTTTTGACTAATTCATTTTTAGAGAGTGTACATTATACATACAAATTTATAAAATTATTTATTTTAAATAATAATAATATCAATTCTAAAATAGTTTATAATTTTACCTATTTACTTGTTATTAAACCTATAGGCTATAATATATTATATTATACTATATATTATATAATTTAAAGACTTCCAAACAAAATGTGTTGATGCTTACGATATTTTGGCAAAAAGTCATCCATATAATAAACGAAAATACTCGTATATATTACTCGTGAATTCCACGAGTATTTTTTACGAGTACATTGAATTTGGTTTGTAAGTATACTTACAAACCAAATTCAATGTATACGAGTAATAAGTATTTCAAATGAAAAATACTTATGAGTAAAAAAGTACTCGTACTTTTTTACTCATAATTGAAATACGAGTAAAAGTACTCAGTACTTGGCCAGCTCTGGTTATAGTGCGTGTTGGTCACTGCCTTTTAAAATAATTTTGTACCCAGGCCCATTCCTGGGGTGTCTGGCGCCTACGTGCAGCATTCTTTGGTTTTATAGTTAAATACAATACATTAGGTAAATATTTTAATTTAAAGCCCTAAAATTTAAAAAATATATATTTTGCGACAAACTGGCATTATGTAATTAAAAATATAAAAAACTGCTTATTAAATTACCAAACAAACAAAATCACAAAAAATATTTAGTAATAAAAATACCCTAAAGAAAACAAAAATAAACATATAAACAATATATTATATATATATATATAATAACTACAACTGGTTTTTAGTGAAGTACTCTCTAAAAATGAATTAGTCAAAAATTACTAGTTTTTAAAGTGAACCAAATACTTGGTTACGGTTTCGGTTTCGGCTGACAATAGTGTTTCGGTCGGACACTAGTAACAGTAATGCAAAAGTATGAAGAAATCTTATATTATTATAAAATGTATGAAAATACAAATATTATTGAAAATGCGTACACGTAGGTATAATATACTATATTATATTATTTGTATGCGTCCTCCTCCTCCTTGTCGTCGAACTCCCTCTCGAACCCCTTCCTTGGCCTCTTTGTATAAATTCTCTTAAATGTTGCCTCAGGTTTCATCGGCATTTAGCATTAATCGTTAATTTACTCAACCACCCAGGCAGCCGTATCAAACTCAATTTTATCCAATCAGCATAAAACTACTAAATTATTACTATATTACTATATTTTGCCATTTGTAGGGATATGATTAAAGTCGTATGTGACTGCAGTCACATGTATTAATTGGGTAAATTGATATTATTTTTATTATTATTGCAAATACGCATATTTTATGTTATGTAATCAACGTTTAAAAAACATATGTATATGTTTTAACATGTATACATGTTACTTTAAAAAAATGGCAATTCAAACAGTATTCATTAACTTTTAACGGTTAATTGAAAATAGCCGGCATAGAACCAGATTTGTGTACAGAATCTGTACTACAGATTATGGTTATGCCAAAGAAGCCGCAGCGGCAATTTACAAAATATCATATATAATGTTTATGAAGTAAACTCAAAGGGCAAATAATTTTATTAAAACACCTTTTACATGTAAAGTGTTTTGATTAAAAATACGTTAAATTTTTGGTTGGGTACGATATAATATAAAATTTATAGATTTAAAATTTATTACATTTAATGTAATAATAATTGTAATATCTAATTTTAGGTTTCTACTGCTTGTTCTTTGGGTGTTTTTGGTTTACAACTGGGTGCTGCTTTAGGTTTTATATTACCTTCAACCTTGGTAAAAAATCATGATGATTTAGAAATGGTGGGTGAAAATTTAAAGACCATGTGTTGGGTTTTGGCCATTGCTATAACACCTATTTTAATCGCCCTAATATTTTGTAAGCTAATTTAAAATGTTTACCCACAAAAAATTTAAATATTTCTTTAAGATTTTCCACCAAATCCAAAGTGCCCTCCAAATAATATTCAAAACGACGACAAATTTTCTTTAAGTAATTTTTTTGGTTCGTTACAATACTTGTTTACTAATGGGGCTTTTGTGATGCATCTTGCTGCCTCTAGTATTAGTATAGGAACATATACTGTGATGGGATCTCTTTTAAATTTGTTTGTTTTGCAATATTTCGAGGTAAGTTTATATAATTAAGTGGATATACTAAAATACTGGTTTAAATACTTAAAGAATGCTCAAGAAGATGCCGGAAGAATGGGTTTGGTTATGATCATTTCCGGAGCTATAGGAACTCCAATAATCGGAAAATTTTTGGACAAAACGCGTAAATTTAAGTAAGTATATAAATATTTAAAGTTAATAACCTAGATAAATTATTTAATAAGTTTATTCTATCCCCATTGATATTTAAGGAATTACTTTGTGTTAAATTTAATAGGTACCTAATAGCCTATTATAATACCTATAGGTAATATTGTTATAAAATAATTGTTACTATAAATATTAATAATTATCATTACTGCCTTAACAATTAATATTTTCTTTAGGGAATCATGTTTTATTTCCATGATATTTCAAATAATTGGAATGATCCTTCTTATTTGTGCATTGGAGTATAAGAATAAAATCTTGGTTTACGCAAGCTTTGCCATTTTGGGGTAAGAAATATAAAATAAATGTAATATCTCACCCTTAAAATTATATTATTTTAGATTATTTTTAAACACATATCTTCCGGCTTGTATTGAATTTGCTACAGAACTAACATACCCAACGGCTGAAAGTACGACTACAGGAATTGTATATGCAATGTCTCAAACTTTAGGTTTTGGAGCGACCATAGCCATTTCATTGTTTTCCATTGAATACGGTGCTTTTTGGGCCTTAATTATAATAACGGCTTTCTTAGCTTTAGGATCTATTTTGACCCTAGTTACTCCAAATACACTTAAAAGGCAAGCTTGCTTTAATAATAAGAATCTCACGGAATTTAAAAGTATACCACAACAAGATGTAGAACATTCATAGCTCTTATACAGGGAATTGTTACCTTTTAATTAATTTTCTTTTTTTTATTTTTAATAAAAATTAGGGGTAATCAAGGGGTATTATGTACCCCAAAAATTGAGTATTAAAAAAATTCGGATAAAATTGTATGGCTTTAATTTTATAATTAATAGTTGTAAAGTAGGGTTTAAAAAAATGAGCAGGTAAATAAAAAACTAGGTCGTTCATATGATATATGAAACAAATTATTATTTTTCTTTGAAAAATCCTGTTATTTTTTGTTTAATTTTGTTAAATAAAAGATTTTTTTATATAAATTGTAACTTTGTTTTACTTCTAGGTCTTTCCATCTCAAATCGGCCAGGCAAAAATGGGTAGGTCGTTATTTTTACAGTTTCTCTATCGAAATCGATGAGGCATGTATTTTTTCTTTTTGCTTCAATTTGTTATGTTCACCCGTAGGAAAGAAAAAAAAAATGGACAGAAACATTGATTTTTATCTTTTTACGAGTGACATTTTTTGTTGAAAATGCGATAACTTGGCCAAAAATGTTTTAGGGCCATAAAACTTGGGTGACCTATGTATATAAAGTATAATTTAGAACTTTTTAACATATTTAACATATTTTTGTGACTTCTGGTTTTACCAAAAATGCTCCTAAATAAGTAAATTAAATTATTAAAGATTTTAGAGTAAAATGTAAATTCTTAATATTTTTGCATGTGTTACTTTTAAAAGATGTAAAAAGTATACGTAAGTTAATTTTGGTTAAAATAATAAAGAGTAGGGTATTACATACCTAAAAGAAATGAATCGAACACACAAGAAACTTATAAAAACGCGAATTCGAAGAAATGTACAACACAAACAATTCAGAAAAATTTTGGTCGGTTAACATATATGAGTGGGGCAGTCGCAAAACTCTTTTTGACTGGGGCTCTATCAGGAAGGGAGTAATATTACTAATAGGTCCAGAAACTAATGCGCAGGTTAATTATGTTTGATTTCATATTTCGTTTTTTTATGTATTGCCAGAGATCCTCTACTATGGCCACACTATGGGGCGGTTAAATATATCTTTTTATAATCGTTTCAAAATTTTCGAATGATTTTATTTAGTAGTTTAAAACCAAAAAATGTTAAGCAATTACTTACACCCCTTTGATTCCAACCACCTTAATTATTATTTTTATTTTATTTTATAAAAAGTTTTAGCGTATGTTTTCATGGTAACATAAAATGTTAATATTCACTTACCAACAAAACAAACTAATGCACTGTCAAATCTGATATTTCTTTAAAACACAAAAGTTTCAAAGCCTTCTTAATTTATTTACTTCTGTACATACTTTAAAACCTAATAAACATTCAAATTTAATCAAGAGTTTAAAAGCGATTTTATTAAAGAATGTATTAATATTTGGTATCAAATTTAAAAAAAGTGGATTTCTTTTATGACCAACGAACCACCCTCTTTTAATAAAAAAAAGTTTTGGCATAAAGTATGGTTTTTCAATTTTTGAACGCTTCTAAAAACCAGCATTGCAAAAAAATTCTATTTTTTTAGACTATTTGGCCCAACATAAAGGAAATTTATTTTAAAACGAAAAATGCATAAATGCATAGGGTGTTTCAATAAAAAATAAAAAGTTAAGACCATTTCCGGTAAAATCGTAAGTGACAAAAATATGTTAAATATGTCCAAAAGTTCTAAATTACACTTTATAGTCCCCCAGTTTCATAACCCTAGATAAAATACCAATTTTTGCAATGAACCACGAGTTTACCAGAAAATAATATTTTCGTTAAAAAACAATAATTCCGAAACGACGAATTTAGCCAACTTGAAACAAAAAAATATAAAGAGATATTAGAGAAGTAGAGAAAGTGTAAAAAAATGTTAAAAAATAACGACCTACTCCTTTTTGCCTGGTCGATTTGCGATGAAAAGGCCCTTTTGTATTTGTTCCAAAACCCATATTTTATTGGTACAAGAGTTGCGTCTTGACACTCGAAGTGGATAGACGCGTCAAGTGGTTAAAGATTCCTCTCCAAGCAGCGTATACGAGAGAAACGTAATAAAGTTCCAAAAACGAACCTAAGTATTCGGAAATATCGGTAATCGGTAATAAATAAATAAATAAATAAATAAATAAATAAACAAACAAGTGCAAAAAAGTGCAACAAGTGTGAAAAGTGCGGGAGATCCCCTGTTAAAAGCCGTAAAAGAGTGCAACTGAATAAATAATTAAGGCCAACTGGCCCACCTGGTCAGCAGGGATAGTCTCAACCAAAGCCTGCAAAAACCATAAGTGACAACGTTATTGAATAATACAAGAGAGTGTAACAGTCTTCTCTCTGACATGTTTAACCAGCCTATTTCACAAAATTTGTTTTTTACTGAAAGTCTTCCACTTACACCACATATTAAGCGAACACACGAGTTTTGTAGTCTTTGTATTCGTCTTTCATCAATTTTTGTAAGACAAAAACCATAAAGGGCATCACAGTAGTTAAAATGCGAAAGTACCATTGAATCACATAAAAGTTTTTTAATATTAGTAGCCTTTTTGACGCAATTTGAAACATGTTCAGAAAACCTAAGATTTGAGTCAAAACTAACACCAAGGTTTTTTGCCTTATTAACCTGCTCAATTTTCTGCCCATTAATAGTTAAGCTAATACTGGGTACATTTCCTCGTTTGCTAAAAACTATAACTTTAGACTTTTGGGGATTTATTTGGAGAGAGTGTGCTGACGACTCCAAACTTAAATTTTCAAGATCTTTATTTATTATTCCTGTAATTTCACATATGTCTTCACACTTAAAAGGAAAATACAATTGTGTGTCATCGGCATACAAGTGAACATTGCAGTTTTTAATGCATTTTACTAATTGTGATGTGTATATAGCAAACAGAAGGGGGCCTAAGATCGAGCCTTGCGGTACTCCACATTTGATTTCAACAGGAGTCGAAATATTATTTTATGCACGATGACCAGAGCTGCAACAAGTCAGTTATAAAAAGACTTAAATCTTAAGTCTTAAGTAAATTCTAAAATCAAAATGATTTAAGTCTTAAGTCAATTCTAAGATAAAGTTCAAATGATTTAAGTATTAAGTCTTTGAATTAAATCATTTTCTTTCAAGTCAAGTCATTTTCGCAAATTCTTAAATCAATATAAAGTGATTTAAGTCATCTTATGACTTAATTCCTTTAGTAAGTCGTTTTTATGACTTAAGTCTATATTTTTTATTTAAATCGAGATCTAAGAGTTAAGTCAATAAAATGACTTGAATCAAAAATTGTGATTTAAATCAAAATAATTACCCTTAAGTCAATACAACGATTTTTTAAATGTTAATAATAATTTTATGGTATTAATTATACTGATATTATTAATCTATTGTAGATACAGATGATAATAAACCACTATGTTAAGAATTTAAAACGATTTATTTTCAGAACACTTACAAACAAAATAAAAAACTTAAAACACATTTTTTGAGTAGACAATCAAAATAAAAAAACCACCTTTTTTAGTAGAGTACATACAGGGAGGCTACTTTTTTATATACATAAATGGTTCACTTCTAAACGGTAATAGATTCAAACTCTGTTAAAATAGATAAAAGTAACAAATTAGACCTAACGCACGCATAACACGACGATGTTGGCAAACAAAATAACAAAATTATAAATCCGCAGTTTTTTTCATTTATTTTAGACAGGACATTTTTTAATGTAGCCGTCAAATGGTTCCAAAAAGCTAACTTTACCGCGGCGGTTTTTTTATTCACTAGCGGTAGCAATTGTAGGTAGGAAATTAAAGGAGTTTTTGAGCTGCTGCCGCGTGAACCCCTGGCAGTTCAAAAGAAAATGCCGCTGTTAAAAATTTATAAAAAAATATATGAAAAATCTGACTTAAATATTTTCTAAAAAGACTTAAATCTTTTTAAATTACTTAAATAATTTACCGACTTTTATAAAGACTTAAATCTTTTTTTGACTTAAATCGTTTCTATATGACTTAAATAGTATGTACTGATTTAAGCCTTTTATTAATGACTTAAGTTTTTTATATTTTGAAAAAAATATTTAAGTCACAAATCATTTTGAAAATTACTTAAATTTTAAGTCTTAAGTCAGTTTTAGAGAAATGACTTATTACCAAATGACTTAAGTCATTAAAACGATTTAAATCAAAAAAACGATTTAAGTTTTCTGAGAGCTTGCAGCTCTGACGATGACATTATAATATGACAATTATAACAAAAATTCTTTGACGTAAACGTCTTTTTATAGCCCGCGGGCTTTATTATGGCCCAGCGGGCTATAATGAAACGTCAAAAATTAAAAACAACAATGTTACACCATTTGATATATTCGAAGTAAGTTTTTTGTATAAAGATTTTGATTTTACCGGCAGCAGGCCGCAATTTTTCGCCTTTTCAGCTGCTTCCTCAATTTCATTTATCTTTAAACTTTAAAACTGACTGATGTCAGTTGACATTATAATATGACAATTATAACAAAAATTCTTTGACGTAAACGTCTTTAAAAATAATAATATATTAAAAATAATAATATATTAATCGTGCATAAAGTTTTGTATGCATTGCTGGCATAACTGGTTTTTATGGTCCTACGACGCTTTTCTAGCCCTCGCGCTAACGCGCTCGGGCTCGAAATAGCGCCTCGGACCATAAAAACCTTATTATGCCCTTAATACATAAATAACTATTTTATCCTGACGCATTGCTGCCTGTCACTCAAATACATCTTTAAAAAAATTACTGAAGTATAACCAAAGCCAATATATTTTAAAATTGCAAGTAATAATTTATGGTTAATTAAGTCGAAGGCTTTGGAATAATCCAACAAAATGAGAGCTGCCATATTATTTGAATCAAGGTCTAATATATCATCAGTTACTTTTAAAAGTGCTGTTGTACAACTGTATCTAGATCTAAAACCTGATTAAATGGGTGGTAAAATGTTAAAAGTATCCAAATGATTTCTTATTTGTTGGTATATAAGTTTTTCCAAAATCTTTGACATTGTTGGTAGGATACTAATAGGCCTGAGATCTTTTAATTCAGTTGGGCATCTGACTTTTGGAATAGGAGTTATATAAGACAATTTCCAACCTTTTGGAAAGCTACTAGTTTCTATACAGTAGTTTATTATATGTGTCAAAACTGGAATAATAT